CGATTAAGAAATTCCTCATAGATTAATAAAAGGCCATTTGCATTAAATAATTGACTTACAAGCAAAATATCTGCCTCAAACCAGCGCTGGAAGAAAAGAGATCTGTTTTTATATAGAATATCTCTGTTATTCCATATAAAATATTTATGAGGAGAAAAGTTGTGCTTGTATAGAAGAGACCAGGCGAGAAGGACCTGCTTATGGAATTTAGATAATTTAGCTGGTATTTTTTCAACATTATAATTACAAAGCAATACAAAATTAAATCCACCAAATTTGGAGAAAATATATTGTGGAATAAAGTTCCAGACTGAGGTTGGATTTTTGAGAAAGTGTTTGGCCCAATTAATTTTAAGAGTATTATTAAATGTGCAAAAATCTAACATATTGAGACCACCATTTTCATAAGTATTCAAAACAACAGATTTCTTGATATAATGTATGCCATTTTTCCATATGAAATTAAATAACATTTTGTCAATACTTTTAAGAATGTTGTTATCAACATGGAGAGACTGAGCAGCGTATGATAATCTGGAGATTCGCTCCCCTTTGGCAAGTAATATTCTTCCCCTCAGAGATAAGTCTCTCTGCAGCCATAAATTAAATTTTCTTTGTGTTTTCTCAATAATTGGGGAAAAATTTAATACACATCTATTATTTAGATTTTTACATATAGAGATACCTAAATAAGATATCTTACTTTTAATTGGAATATTATTAATTGTAGAAAGGTTGCACTCTTTAATTGAAAGTAGTTCACATTTAGACAAATTTAAAAAAAGACCAGAAGCTTTAGAAAATCTTTCAACAGTGCAGATTGCAATAGGGATCCAAGAGGCATCTCTTAAAAAAGAGCAGTGTCATCTGCTAATTGGCTGATCTTTATTTCTCTTTCTGCAATAAGAATCCCTTTCAAGGTACTTTTATTAATATAGTGTGAGAAAATCTGGGTGGCAAGGAGGAAAAGATAGGGTGAGATAGGGCATCCTTGCCTGATGCCCCTCTGAAGGGTGAATCTGGGTGACAAACCAAAACTAAATTTCAGTGAGCAATTACTATTAGCATAAAGTGTCCTGATGGCATTATAAAAAAAATCACCAAAACCAAATTTTCGAAGGCAACGGAAAATAAAAGTATGCTCTACGGTGTCAAATGCCTTGTAGAAGTCTAAAAATAAAATAAAACTTTCCTCTGAAATCAAATCAGAATAGTCAAGGATGTCTAAAATTAATCTGATGTTATTAGAAATTTGCCTATTTTTTATAAATCCAGATTGAGATTCATCAATTAAATAGCTCATCACTTTCTGTAATCTTTGGGTAAAAATTTGAACTAGAATCTTGTAATCAATGTTAAGTAAACAAATTGGATGCCAATTTTCAATAAGAAGTGGATCCTTTTTGGGTTTTGGAATCAGAGTAATCGCACCCTGTGTCAAGCTAGGAGGAAGAGATGTTCTCAGAATACTCTCTGCATAAACTTCTGTAAGAAATGGAGCTAAGGGTTCAGAGAAGGCCTTATAAAATTCTGCAGTAATACCATCATTGCCCGGAGATTTGTTGATTTTAAGATGATTAATAGAATCAGTGATTTCTTTAAGGGAAACTGGTTCATCACACCGATTTTTGTCATCTACCTCTATGGTATTCAGGTCAACTATTGAGTCTAAAAATGAGGATGTGTCATCCTCATCGAACCTAGAGGTATATAACAGCTTATAAAACTTATAGCAATAATTAGAAATTGTCTTGGGGTTATCTGTTATGATACCATCAGTACTGAGTTTAGTCATGCTATTATAACTGGCATTAGATTTTTCTAACCTGAAGAAGTATGCAGAATTTTGTTCGCCTTGCTCCATCCATCTCCTCCTAGATCGCACAAAGGCGCCTTCAGCTTTACATTTGTAAATATCATCAAGCTGGTTTTGTAATTTAGAAAGCAAAGCAGTTTCAACATTTGAGAGATTTTCAGGGGGCCTCTGAGTAACAACAGCAATTTCACTAATTACTGCCTCTTCCTCAGCTTTCCTAAGCTTGGCTAGTGCACTCCCATAGCTTCTCATAAATTTACCAATATCAAATTTTAGTAACTCCCAATTATTACTAAAAGAGCGTTCCCTTACTGCTTTATTCCAATAATGGTTAATTAAATAATTAATTTTAAGCTTAACGGTATTATGAGATAATAGAGAGCTGTTTAACTTCCAATATGATGGTTTAATAGAATTTAAAGTGCTTACAGAAAGCTTAATCTTTATATAGATAGCCTTATGGTCAGTTAGGGGAGTTGGGAGAATATCAACTAAAGTACTGGGAATGTCAATAGAATTAGAGATCAGCCAAAAGTCTATACGAGAGAAAAGAGAAGCAGCCTTGTTGCTCCAGGTAAATGCTTTAGTATTAAGGAATTTGGACCTCCAGACATCAATCAAATCAAGTCTCTCCATGAATTGTTTAAATTTTAAATTAAGTGATGAGGGTCGGCCGGGAGGCCATTTATCAAGAGCACTGTCAATTGCAATATTGAAATCCCCACCTATAACAAGCAGAGAATTTGGGATTTTTTTCAGCCAGTATAGCAGTCTGCTTTCTATAAACTCAAGAAAACTAGCATTCTCAGACCTTGAATTAAATCCATAAATATTGGCCATAATAATAAAAGTTGAATTAAGATCAATGACATGACACAAAAAATGTCCATATGAATCACTGTCCGAGTGTAATATATTCCCTTTAAATGTATTTCTTAGAGTAGTAACTCCTGCAGAGCGTTCAGTTCCATGGGAAAACCAAAGGTAATTTCCCCATTGTGATCTCCAGAATTTTACATCATTAACAGATGAATGGGATTCTTGGAAAAAACAAAAATCAGGCTTCAGTTGTTTCGCAAATAAAAATAAAGCTTTCCTTTTCACAGTATGCCGTATAACCCTGACATTTAATGAAAACAAAGACAACAACGTCAAAAACAAATAAATGTATAAAAGAACTGTAGAAACAAAAAGGCAATGACCTTACGTCAAAAGATTAGGGCAAAAAAGAGAACACCCCAAACTCTGCACTTAGAACAAGAGTCAGTGTTAAGTGAACCAACTTATCATATAACATCTTGACAAGTTCCAGACAAAAGGTTTTGAACTATACTTAAAAGGATATTGAGGCACAAAAACCATGGGCAACAAAAGTTCCTGGACTAGCCAGCCTCAGGACGACAAACTTCAAGGTGGCAGAATGATTTCTTTGCCTTCAACAAATGCTTGGGGTCTGACATAGTATGCCTTTTCCCCTGCGTCCCTCGCACTTTTAATTGCAGGCCACAGCTTTTTTCTCCTTTCTCTGTCTTCCTCACAGAAGTAGTTTCTTATCACGCAGGTACGAGTTGTTTCTAGCAGCCTTCCAAACTGCATCACGGTGCACTCTGCTGGTGAATTGAAGAATTACAGGCCTCGGCTTGTCAGTGAGCATTTTTGAACTCAAGCGATGAACAGTATCAATCACATCTGGAAGCTTGATCTTTCCCTCAGGTAGCACCTCCTGGCAAATATTAATAACTTCCGCTCGTACGTTCTGATCTGCTTTCTCAGGGACTCCATACAACTTCAGGTTCCATCTCCTGTGGTACCCTTCCAGCTCCTGTATGCGGTTCTCGAGCATGCTGCGATGACGTTTTTCTTCATCAATGCATTTCTCTGCATTAGTCATCTTTATCTTCAAGTCTTTTACCTCTGCACAAACAAAATCAACAGTATTTTTTAGACCTTCTATTCTCATAGCGTTGTTGTTGATCAGTTTCTCCATACCATCCGCCCTGTTGTTAATCAGGTCAGAAAGAGTGGATATTATATCGTCACTGGATTTTTCCGTTTTTCCACGTTTACTGGATGGAGGCTTACTTGGAGTCACAGGCGAGGATGGAAAATCTTCAGCAGCAGAGGAAAGTGATGGAGTTACATGAGTGGAATAATCATGACAAATGTCAATCAGTAAATTGCTACCTTCAGGTGATATCATAAGCTCGGAGCTTGGCATCACACCATCGGATGCTGCCAAACTTCTAACAGCTTGATCTAGCAAGTCTTTCCTTTTCCTTTGGGACTTTGACATTTTCCCGAGTTCACACTGTACAAGAACTTAGCAAATTAAGCCAAAATCAAATTTGAAAAGTGGCACTTAACTTAAAAAAAGAGCAATCTAAAGCAGAGATTGGGAAAGACAACCGTTCAGAGCGCCATTTTGCGCAACTCCCCTCTAGCGGGTCTGTTTGTGTCTCATGTCGCAAGTTCAATGACGCAGTAGTGACGATTCTCTCCGGCCAATCAGTGATCAGCAGAGTTTACACGTCACGTTTTGGTAACGGTACGGTTCACTTGGAACCCCAACCGAGGTGGTACTAAAAAAAGTACCAGGTACCAGGTACCAGGTACCAGGTACTGTACCCAGTGGAAACCCCCCCAAAAGTGAACCGTACCGAGCCGTACCGTGCCGTACCATGCAGTGGAAAAGCGCCATTAGACCGCACCCCATAAACACAATCAAGCCTAGAAAAAAAAACTGTGAACCACCCCTTTAAAGTAAATATATTAGGTCAAATGGGTTTGGCTGACAGAAAAAGTTAGGGAATCCCTGAAGTATCTATTATATATCTATCTATTATATGATGCAGACCAGACCTTGCGTCAGCTGGATGTCCAACATGTTTTCATGCACTAACCACCGCTCTACGACTCTGACAGAAATTTGTTTTTGAAGCTGAAGGCTAATGATATCTTACTGAATATAACATTGCAGCTGTGAATATTCTGTTAAATTTAGTTACTTAATTATTTAGTTAATTATGCAGTGATCTTACAGCTGTCATAGATTAGAAATGTTGTTGACATCACAGACCTCTTTGAACTGCATTCTTACAAATTAATGGGATGTGATAAAATAACACATGACAAGTGCAAATAATGATGCTGAGTTGTCTTTTCTCTAATTCTCTGACAGCATTCATCAGTTTGCAGAGATGTACAGTCAGAAAATGGGCATCTGCTCCTCGGTTCTGCTCAAGACCCTGTGGGGCTATTTCTACCTCAACGCCAAAGCCAAAAAAATCATGAAGGGAGCTCAGGTACTCTCTTACACTTACACTTTTTAATATGGTTTATGTACTTGTACCATGGTAATATCACGGTATACTTTATAATGCTATATAAAAACATTTGCAAAATAATAAAGTTCCATGGTATTACTATCTGATGCCATCATTATGCCATGGTTTATGCAAGTCTTAAAGGGGTCATATGATGCTTTTTTAAAGATCATGATTTTGTGTATTTGGTGTAACAGAATATGTTGACATGCTTTAATGTTCAAAAAACACATTATTTTTCAAATACTGTACATTATTGTAAGTCCTCTATGCCCCGCCTCTCTCAAACGCTTCATTTTCTACAAAGTCCCTCCTTCTGCGCAGTCTGCTCTGATTGGCCAGCTGACCCAGTGCATTGTGATTGGCCGAACACCGCAAGCACTCGTCGGAAATGTAACGCCCCTTACCATAATCGCGAGCTTCATCTTTCAAAATAAATGTAAAGACAGAGCCCGAAAGGGGAACAGAGTCACGTGACAGACACAGTGATGAATATGTGTTTGCAGTACACAAGCCACGGTTAAGACACCTGACTCCACTGTGATGTGTCTCGCTCTCTCTCTCTCTCGCTCTCTCTCTCGCGCTCTCTCTCTTTCTCTCTCTCGCTCGCACACACACACACATGCACACACACACACACAATGCGCAAAACTCCGCGTTTGAACAGTCAATAGGAAATACTTAAACTAATAACAAAACAGTAGCTGATTCAGAAGCGCCAGATTGTCATAGCAAAGTCAGAATTACCTCCTCTCCTAGGTTCACGAAACGGTCGTCCATAAAATGCATTGCTGTTTTGTTGTAAGTAATCTTAAAAATTCCAAATAAGGTGCTTTTGCCTTGAAACACACAGCGTCTCCCTGACATGCTGCTTCAACACTAACTGCGGTTACTGAAACCATGCCTTCTTTCTTTGCGTGAACATTTGGGCAGCATTATGTAACTATTTCCACATAGTGAGGTAGATATGTGGGGGCGTGTTAGAACTAGCCGTTTTAGGGGGGCGTGGCAGAGTCTTAACTTTGATAATGAATATCTCTTCACAATCAGCTTGTAACACTCCAAAGAGAAAGGAAAACTTGAAAATCGCATCATATGACCCCTTTAAGTAGTTACCAGGCTTTTATTTTTATTTTTTCCATTAAAATACTAACATATATAACAGTATGCATTTGCCTCCAATGCTACACAAAGCTATTGAATCATTATTTCCCATGAAGGTATGAATATATATATATATATATATATATATATAATATATAACATAACGATTATGAAATGTAAATCATGAAACTGTAAATATATTTTAAATTGTTTAAAATTTCAACATAAACATCTGTGGCAACTTGCAAAATCATGTAATTATATAATGACTGACTCATCTTAAGGAATTCCAGTGTGGTTTTATTGTGTTGCCTTGTTCACTTCTTCCATCAGTTTGTTGTCTGGCATTAATATTGTTTACTTGCACCACATATATGATGTCGGTCCATATCCAAAAAACAAAAGAAAACCAACATTCTTTGTCATCTTTGACTAAGACAAGACACAAAGCATGTTGTCCCTGACTCTAAGTCTTGAATGAGAGTTTGACCAGACTGGTCTCGTAGAGTGTGTGATCAGAGCTATGGCCCAAATAATGAGATGGCTCCTTCTTGTGAACTGCATTTGAAATAGCCATGACAGCTCTGGGGGTCTTCTAAAGGACACACTCGCTATAGTCTCAGCTTTCCTTCTCTTATGTGTGTGCGGCTGTGTTATGAGGCTCTGACTTCGTGTGGAGGAGAGAGAGAGAAAGAAAGAAAGAAAGAAAGAAAGAAAGAAAGAAAGAAAGAAAGAAAGAAAGAAAGAAAGAAAGAAAGAAAGAAAGAAAGAAAGAAAGAAAGAAAGAAAGAAAGAAAGAAAGAAAGAAAGAAAGAAAGAAAGAAAGAAAGAAAGAAAGAAAGAAAGAAAGAAAGAAAGAAAGTGATAGAAGCAAGGCATCTCATTGCTTTTCCCCTCTCTCTTTAATTACAACCAGTCTACCATATCGGAGAGGAAATTAATTATTCACCTAATCTGCCACAGGAAGAAATACACGTCAAATGAAACACACCACCAGTGCAACAAACAATAAGACACATAGAACACAAAGCCATACATAAGCAACCAAAACACTGCAATAATTGTACACTTATGTATAGAGAGAGAGATAGAGAGATAGATACATAATGTATGTGTATGTACTGTGTGCGTGTGCGTGCGTGCGTGTGTGTGTGTGTGTATATATATATATATATATATATATACACACACAC